GGATTCTGACGATTCCTTACTACTACCACGATGCTGTATTATTTTTAAGCTTGGGCCACTGTTCACGATGCCAGTATCCGGTGCTCTGTGTGTCTCTTCATTTGGTTGGCCAGCTTCGTACTATGTACACGGCATTCTCACGATAATCATCATGGCTGCGTTTTATGCCATCTATCGTGATTCGCCCAGAATTCATAAGTAATCATTTGAATAAACGATGGAGATGCGGCTGCCCAACTGCGTGCAGCAGTGGTCAATAGCACATACAGATTTTTTCAACTAAAGCATTTAAAAAATTAAAAAATTTGAAAAAATCAAAAAAATTTGGCTGATTGAGAAAAAATTTAAAAATCAAAAAATTAAGTGGAAATTTGGGAACATTTTAAAAAAGTGATTTTAAAAATCTTAAAAAAATTACTTTTTATTTTAAAAATCCCAAAAAATTGCTTCCCCTACTTTAAAAGTCTTAAAAATCTTAAAAAAATTTATTAGTGTTCGGAATTTCTGAAGATTCCTTTCAAACAAACAAAGATGTAATAGGCGAAATAATTACTGTATGTGAGGTGCAACAGGCGAAACTGCTACTTAAATAAAGGCTTGCCGAAAAGAATCAAAGTTGCTCGTTGCTTTCTTCCTGATTATATACTTGAAATGGCTACTAGTGCACCACTACAACAGTGATTTAGTCAACAACCGTGCTATTTACTTCACTTCATGGTTGCTTTGACCAGTGCTCCATCTCCTGGTGGTCAGCCGCCTTCTGGCGATCCGAACGCTCGTTTCGTTTCCTGAAGGGGTAATCGGCTCAGTGGCTCTCCCGATAGAAACACGTTCGCTAGGCTTTATCCATATGGCGATTCAACGGTGTATGCTGAGCGTCGCTGTCTCTTTCCCAGACATTGCCACTGCCAGATCACACTGGGGGATGCAAGTGCAGGATCTGCCGGCATGAAAATTTAAGTTTGCAGAAATGTCAGCTCAAAGGAACTATCCAAAATTGAATTTGGTAAGGACGTAACTTACGAAAAGAAGATGCCGGTAGTACCATACGGTGCTATGGTCCGTGATATCGCCATTTGGGGTGTTTGGATCGCGAGTATTGGTGGCACTTTTGGCTTCCAGATATTTTTTCAGTATGGACCTGTATATATCAATGAAGTTAGTCACAAAAACTTTTCTTAAAAAATTTTGGGTATGAGGTGGTAAAACTAAAATGAAACCATTACACTACTCATCTGAGTAGTCAACTACGATATCTCAGAAGCAAACGTAGTAGCATTCTCCTTCATTGATAAAAACTTTTCCACAAAAATGTAATTTACTCACAAATTTCGGTGTCCCACCAATTTTTCCGCAAAATTTTGGCATCACAGTACTTTTTGCACATTAACTCACTGCTTTCTGGGCAGTAGTTTACTTGTGTCACGAAATTTGCCTTCCCTTGCGCCCAAATATTTCATAGGTGTCTTTTACTAAGCTCTGAATATATTTTCTAGTCACGCTTTAATAAGCTTTTTAGTCTCGCATGCTTAGTGCCTTCAGCTCACATGCACCTCGTAATCCACGAACTTCGCTGCTCTCAGTACCATGCTGAATCAAAAACAGAGAAGACCACGAAGCAAGCTATCACACGTGTCATTTTCAGGTGCTACATTTCGCGGTGGAAAAGACTGGCTTCACGACTGCTCTGCCAATGATATTGTCCATCGTGGTGAAGGTGCTCTCCGGACCATTCAGTGACCACGCCGCGTGCTGCGGGGAGAAAACCCGAGTGATGCTTTTTACGTTCATTTCCCAAGGTTTGCCACTTTCAGCTAGCGATACCAATATTTATTTTTGGTCACTCGTTATTTTGGCAACAATTACAGTTCAGTTCGTCTGTTCGCAATATAGTCGAGGTTTTTTTGGAGGAATCCTTTCCGTGTTTTGAGGCTCCTACCTGCATTCTGTAGTGAGGGATGCTCAGTACAGAAGTATGGTGCGCCCATGCGAAAGGTACGGGAGGGAACAAGTCCTGAAAAAAGGGTTTTGAGTCGCAAGCGACTTCTAAGGAAGAACGAGACGCTTTAGATCACAAGTGGGCAGCAGGCGGCTCACGGGCCGGATCCGGCCTGTGAAGGGAATTGGAGCTAGACGAATGGGACTTTGTACTTCGCTACGTCTCTGCACCCTCACGAAAACCCAGGCTGGAACGCACCGGGCAGGCCCGTGAGTGAGTACCACGCATAATTGGGGACTGGGGAGCTGAATTTGAAATCATTAGCTAGCACGTGAACACGCAACATCCCCCTAAAATTTCAGCCTTCCGGCTTCTCTGGCTACCGATTTAGCATTTTTCCCGCCAGATCTTTCGCGTGCTCGTACGTGAGAGCTGCGCATACTGGATTTGAAATATTTAAGTTGCACTTCGGTAAGGAACAATCCCTCAAAATTTCAGTCTTCTAACTTTCCTGGTTCCCGAGTGAGTTATTTTCCCACCAAGACTTCCACATCCCCTTACTGAGTATCACGTACACCTGAAGGTCAAATTTGAAATCTTTAGCTCACACTTGCTCTGGGAATATCACTGTAAAGTTTAAGCCCCTTATCTTATCTGGCTCCCGAGATTGCTTTTTCGTCAAAATAACTTGCATATTTTTTATGCGTTTTTTGCAGCAATGCAATGCGAAAAACGCATATTGACGAGAGGTTGTCT